TTTTTTTTTAAGTTTTAGAGAGGATTTGTATTTAAACTCTAAACCCCCCAAGCATTTTAATTAGGTGATTTGGTTACTTTTTCTCTTGTGTCCTAGGAAGATGGAAGATCCAGTGTTGCCAATTAACAGTAGTTATTATCAGTTCCAATTTGTCATGTGGAATAATTTGCTGGCTTGTCTGCTCTCAGTCCTAATAGATATTGGAGTTTAACAGAGTGTATAATCCATATTCTGGGGTTCCTACTGTTTTTTTCCCTGCAGTCCCTTCCCTCTTACCCTTCATAATTATGAGAAATTTGCTTGCTGGACATACATACAAGACCCTTGATCACACTGGGCTTCTAGTGCTTGTCCTGCACAGTTTTTATTACCTTGTAAGCAAAGAAGCTTAGCATCAAAAGAACTGCCCTAGCAGTAGCATTGCCACATCCTGCTGAAGAAGGGTCCACATATTGGCAAAGTTGTCAGTACAACAGTAACACAAACAACATTTTGGAAGAGTGACCCTTTTCACATTAACTCACTGTGACCTTTTATGGAGTAAGACATCTGACACCGGACAGTCACATAGAACTGCAAGCTATGGAAAATGCTCTCACTCTTCCTTTGCCACTCTCTTTTCAAGGAAAAGAGTTTTTCCTATTTTGTTCTCTATCTTCATTATGTTCTAGCTGTAATGTTGTAAAAATTATATCATTGTTTTTATTGTAAGCCGCCTAGAGTGGTCGAATACGATCAGATAGGTGGGATAGAAATAAAATAAAATTAAATAAAATTAAATAAAATTAAATAAATAAATAAATAAATAAGGAAACCCTTCTTTAGCTCATCATGACAAGCTTCTAGTGGGCTTCTAGTGTGCCACACCTTCTGGTATGGTTTAACTTTTTCTTTTGTTGCTCTAGGAATTTGGTGTTGTTTCAAACACAAGGTTGATATCTGCTGCTACTTCTGTATGTAAGTGTAAATTATATCCTTTGCATATTAGATGTTTGTAGGGAAAATAGCTGTTTTCCTTTGCAGGAAGGTGTTGCCAGATTGATTGTTATTTTTAAAAAGAGGCAAGATTTCTTTTAAATAAATAAATAGTGTTCCAAACATTTGGTTTCCAATCCCAGCAGTGTTGAAACTGAAACTTTGCGAGTATTCCTAATATCCTTATTATTAGTTAAGTTACCAGTTATTTAGATGCATATTTAAACACAGTAAAAAAATAATTTGCATAAGCTGGTGAATGCTTCCATGTTAGTAGATAATTTGTGCACATTATAAACTTTCAGAAGCTGAAATAAAAAGCGGGGGAGCTGTGTGGTCGATACAAAATACAAGTGCAGCAGTAGGCGATAAGTGATACCTCGTGGTGCAGTGGTTAGACTGCTGTACTGCAGGTAAAATTGTGCTCACGACCTGGGGTTCAATCCCAGGTAGCCGGCTCAAGGTTGACAGCCTTCTATCCTTCCGAGGTCGGTAAAATGAGTACCCAGCTCGCTGGGGAGGCAATGTGTAGCCTGCATAATTAAATTGTAAACTGCCCAGAGAGTGCTTGAAGTGCTATGGGGCGGTATATAAACAGCACGCTTTGCTTTGCTTTTTATAGATGACTAATAAAAAACTGAGGGACGTGGTGGCGCTGCGGGCTAAACCGCAGAAGCCTGTGCTGCAGGGTCAGAAGACCAAGCAGTCGTAAGATCGAATCCACGCGACGGAGTGAGCTCCTGTCGCTTGTCTGTCGCTTGTCCCAGCTCCCGCCAACCTAGCAGTTCGAAAGCATGCAAATGCAAGTAGATAAATAGGGACTTCGATGGGAAGGTAACAGCCTTCTGTGTCTAAGTCGCACTGGCCATGTGACCACGGAAGATTGTCTTCAGACAAACGCTGGCTCTATGGCTTGGAAACGGGGATGGACAAAAATTGTCAAGGGGAACCTTTACCTTTACCTAATAAAAAACTAACAATTCATACAATATGCAAGCTTTCATGGGTAAATCCCACTTCTTCAAGGCAAAAGTACTAAAAGTCCAAATGTTCATGTTGGATTTTGCCAGGAAAGTTACTCTTAGATGTAAATTCCAAAACGCATTGGACAGTGGATTTTGCCACACAGTCTTTCTTGGATGTAAACAGGAAACAGTAATGTTGTTTAATGTTACATCTCAGGCTGCCTTGGATTGGATTTCACACCCCAGTTCTTCAAACAAAGGGGCACAGACCATGTGTGCACACAGATCTATCCCCATTTGGCCCTTCTTCGAAACAGAAATGTTTCTGCTTGACCTGGAATGGTGGTTGGGGGGAGGGGGGGTGAAGCAGAAGAATTGTATTCTCCATCTGGGAATTAGGGTATAATTTAGTAAAATCACAAGGTCTAGCCCATTGGGGTCAGATTAAAGTAAAAAGATTATTACCTAGTAGTTGCAGTCCTGCTCTGCAGAAGTCCATGTGCTTTCTTGCTGATGTGTGAGGCAGGGAGGTGGCTCTTTCTTGGTATCATAATTCCATTGAAAGAAAAGGTGGAAGCCATGTGGTTGATACAAAAAACAAATGCAACTGTAGGCAACAGGTGATATCTTTATAGACCACTGATTTTTTAAAAAAAATCATACAATATGCAAGCTTTCATGGGAAAATCTCACTTCTTCAAGTTATATCCTGAGCTGTCACTTTAAACAACATGACTGCTTCCTGCTTATATCTAAGAAAGACTGCCTGGCAAAATCCATTTTGCCAAAAATTTTAGTCTTTGCATCTAAGAGTGTCTGGTAAAATCCATCTTGCCATGAACAGTTGCACTTTTAGTACATTGCCTTGAAGAAGTGGGATTTACCATGAACACCTGCATATTGTATGATTTTTTTATTTTTTATTAGTAGTCTATAAAGGTATAGCTTTTCAGAAGCTGGTAGATATTTATTAAAATCATTTTGAATGTTATCAGTATTTTGTAAGAAGGAAAAATGTGCTGTACATTTTGTTCTCTGTTTCAGCCTTTATAATATCCTCCCGTTACTAATTATTTCTGATTGCTTATTGCTGTTGAACTTTGCCATCTTACCTCCAAAATCTGTAATCTACAATAGATGTAGTTTCCTGCTGTTATAACCGTCTTTTAGAATGTTAAGAGAACGCCATTTGTTGATAACGTTTTTAATCGCTTAATTTTTTAAAAGTTTGCTGACTTTTTTCATTGCAGTGAAAACTAGGTTTTCGTATGCCTTTCCGAAGGAATTTCCTTATAGGATGAACCATGTAAGTATCCGAAATCAGATGAGCATTTTGACCACTTGTGTATAGGCAGTCATTGTCTGCAGGGATGTGGCTTATCATGGTGCTTTCTTCAATAACACAACACTCACTGACAGTTCCCTCAGGTCTGTGAGACCTCCTACCCATGTTGGTTTTAATAAATATTTCTATACAAGACAATGTCTTTTGGGGGCTGGGGTAGTGGAGACTTTTTAAAGCCTTGGCCTCCACTGCCATCTTCAGTTCCCTGGAATGAAAGGAATGGCTGTGGAGGGTGGCTAGAGACCTGTGCTTAGCAATATGCCTAGCCCCTGTTTTTTTTTTTTTTTTTCAAAAAAGAGAGGGAAAAGAAAGAAATCCTGCCATCAATGCCTGGTTAGTTGAAGGTGTCAGAGCAACTGAGTGGGATGAGTTGGGTGGCAGAGAAAGAAAGAAATTAATTGTATTCATGAGGGCTTTCACGGCCGGAACTAATGGTTGTTGTGGGCCCTTTGGCCGTGTTCTGAAAGTTGTTCTTCCTAACGTTTCGCCAGTCTCTGTGGCTGGCATCTTCAGAGGACAACGCCAGAGCATAGAGTGCTGTCCTCTGAAGATGCCGGCCACAGAGACTGGCAAAACGTTAGGAAGAACAACTTTCAGAACATGGCCAAAGAGCCCGAAAAACCCACAACAACCAGAAATTATTTGGCTATTTACAATTAGGTGTCTGTTATGAGAATAGAAATAGATGATGCAGCAGCCTTAAAAGACATTTATTCGGAAAAAAACCTCAAGAGATTTTTTTAAAAAGTGGGATTAACTTTCTATTAAGTTGATTTGCGATTCCAAAACATCATCCCTTCCTGGATGTTGCAAAATATCATACCTTTCAATGGTTTTTCTGGTAAGAAACTGAAATATCTCTTTTAGTATTTCAGACCTACTAGTATTTTACAAGATTTTAAATCTATATACACCAAGGGAGCTGGCTGAATAGCTCAGTGGTTTAGGGAGCTGGCTGTGGAGCCAGAGTTTGAGAGTTTGATACCCCACTGTGCCTCCTTTGCATAGAGCCAGCCTCTGTAGACATGGGCAAGCTGCATAGTCTATGGTTGCTCCCAGAAAAAGGAAATGGTAAATGTCTTCTGAGAATTAGTCACCATCAGTCAAAATCAGCCTGGCAGCACACAATTATTATTATAGGTAAAGTAGAATTGCCAAAGTGCTTCACTTCTTATGTCACACTGCACTCTGTTTTCTACATATCCCTTGAAAGGATGTTATCCTGAATTTGCTTACAAGCTTGCACCTTATTTTGTTCCCCATTTGAAAATGAGTTCCAAATTAACTACCCCATCCTCACTATTTGGACCCTCTGAAGAAAGACAAGTATCTTAACACAACAAGATGTAGTAATGGAATGGATAACTTATCCACCACCACCTCCACAGGGTCTTTATCCAACTCAGGCATACATTCAGCCTTAACCAAAGACCTTGACACAGTTCACAACTCAGTCTGTAGTTGAAATAATTTGTCCTAAGACTTCTCCAGAGTCATCATGGGGGACAGTTTCAGGGCAACTTCTTTGAATGACTGTGGGTCCATTTAATGGCAGGTGTATCTCCCACCAGCTCCTCACATCTTCCTACTCTAGGTAGGTAGGTAGGTCATGTGGAAAAATGTGCTGAAACCAGCATATTTCAGGGTCCCCATCCATCATCACCAGTCTGTCTCTCATCCTGACCCCGGGTTCCTTTTTTTCTCTTTACCTGCCTTCCTTCTCCCTTTGTTTCTTTGTTCTCTCCCATTCTTCTAACATTTGTTCCCTCCACTCTCTTCTAACCCCACTACAAAGAGTTTTTTTTTGGGGGGGAGGCGTTTTTGCCATTCCTCTCTGCTTTTTCTCTAGGGACTTTAAGGTGAACCCAGTCTCCTGTCCAGGGGTCCCTCTTCACCGTCCAAGCCCAGTTTTCACCTATTTCTTCCTCAGCTTTTTCTACTTTGACCACATAACTTCTCTCCTCCTTGCTGCTCTGTCTCATTCTACCTTCCTCCCCATCCTGGTTCCTTTTATCTCCTCGCCTACCCTAGGTGTCCCCAACTCTTTTGTCTGTTGCTTGTTTCCCAGGCTTTTTCTCCATCCTAGGCTTTCTATCCTTCCCAGGGGTTCAGGTGTTTATAAGGAGGTTGTGGGTGATGTTTTTTGACCTTGATCTATAGGGAAGCTGGCCATTTCAATCGCCATAGTGGAGGGAGGAGACGGCACACTGACAGGGAAAGCCTGTCTCTTCTCACACTGATATTTAAACTTGATCAGTAGAGCTGTGTCTTAAAATGTGCCACGTCATTGTAATCTCTGTCATCAGTGCAAAAAGTGTACCATGCACCTACCTGTCCTGCTTATATGTGATATACAATTGACTTGATTAGTTTGTTTTTATATCCTTGCAGATACTAGAATGTGAATTCTATCTCTTAGAATTAATGGTAAGTTTCTATATTTACTATTGCATTCATTTGATCTTATGTAAGAAAAGCTTGTGCTTTGTGCTCTGGCGTAATGGGAATTAGTGAATTGTTATTTACGTCTTTGGTTTCTCATTCTGATTATCTGTAGGGCGTCTGCACACAGATGTCTGTGCACACCATAACCTCAGTGAATACATGGTGGGAGAATTAGCTAATGTTTCTTATGTGAGAGCGGGAATCTGTGTGCAGCCACCCTTCTTTTTCTTTTCAGGTGTACTTTGAATGGGCTGAGAATAGTAGGGATGGAGACTGTAGAGCGTAGAAACTGTGGCCAGCACAGAATATCTTGAAAAATGTCTGCACCAGGGGATTACTCCAAGGTTCAGCAGATAGCTGTCCCATTATATTTGTTTACAGTTCCGTGAACATATATGTCCTTTTGATGCCTTTTAAGATTTCACAAGGAACAATGTGAAAAATTCAGTACTTTTCTAAGAAGGTACTGTCTAACCCCATATGGCATAGTGAATAAAAAGACTATGACTTGGGTGGTGTGGATTCAGATCCCCCTCAGCCAGAGACCCTTTCTGGAGGATACAAAACTAAATTATTTCTTGAACACCCCACATACATTAGAAATCCTGTTCCTTAAATCTTTCTCTGGGTATGCACATGCTTCTGACTACTGTATCCACGTAGAACTGCTCTTTCAACCACTCCACTAACAAGTGGCTCAGTTATCTTGCAATCTCATATTGGGCAGATAGTTCCACTTTGTATTCCTGAAAACCTGGGAATCTCATCAGCACTTATATAGCAACTTTTGTTGTTAAAAAAACACTCAATACTTCTGAAGTCTAATGAAAGCAGTATAGAAACTCAGAGAAATGTAAACCACGCCAAGTGAACACTTGAGGTAAATTTTTCTTTTTAAAAAGCCTGCTGCTTATATATCACCCCATAGTGCTTAAAGCACTCTCTTTATGGTTTGCAACTTCATTATGTAGGCTACACATTTTCTTATAGGAAAACAAGAAGTGCCCAACTTGAAACTGAGTGGTTTGAATGTGTGTATGCTAGTAGCAATGAGTGTGGTGGTAGGCACTATATTTGATTTTAACCTGTATTTAAAAACACAATCTTTCCAGGACTGCTGTTTGATAGTGTATCATCCCTACAGACCTCTGCTCCAGTATGTGCAGGATATGGGCCAAGAAGATATGTTGCTGCCCCTTGCCTGGTAAAAATGATAAAAAGTTAAAGTCCTTTTGTTTGAGTAACAGTGAAGATTAAAGAAAATAATGGAGCTGAACTCTAAATTGACCTTAAAGTTGAAGTTTTGACAGCAAATTAAGTAAAATTTCCAAAGCAACATGAGCTAATGTGCCTTAGGAAGAGGACTGTATGTATTCCACAAAAGCTTACACTGAAGCAAATCTGTGAATCTAAAATTAGTCTCAAGGATGTAGAAGTATTTTTGTTTTGTTTTTGTTACACAAGCTGAAATAGACCAACATGGCTGGTGACTGAAAAATGATCTAGTGAAACATTTTTGCCAAGGGACTTTAACCAGTTTTTAATCTACCTTGGAGAATAAAGAAGAATTAGCCCCCCCCTCATCCCATGTTTATAATTGCCATAATAGGGTTGTATTATTTATGATAATATAATAGCTGCCTGTACAGGTTTGAGCAGATAGTCATTTGACACTCTGATTAAGAAATTTTCATTCTTCAAGCAAGAAGGCCTCGTGTCATATAATTACATACAGGTCTATAATTTTGTAAAAAAAAATGCTTCAAATGAAATACCGCATTATTCAGTGAATAAAACGCCCCCCACTTTTCTAAATCAAAATTTATTTCTTTGCATTTTCATTGCAAAAAGCAGCTTCCCCCTCCACGTTTTGCAAAGAACATGTAGGCGGGAAACAATTTCTGCTTTCCCCCTACATTTTCATTGCAAACGTCTACTTTCTGGAGGCAGAAAGCTGCTTTTTGCAACGGAAATGTAGGGGGAAAGCAGAAATCACTTTCCCCCTGCATTTTCTTTGCAAAACCTGAAGGCAGAAAGCTGCTTTTTGCAACGAAAATGTAGGGGGAAAGCAGAAATCGCTTCCCCCCTGCATTTTCTTTGCAAAACGTGGAGGGGGAAACAGGGATCAAAGCAGTTTGAGCCCTCCCCCCTCCTTACTTCTGGGTATAAAACAACCCTCAATTTTTCCTTCAATTATTTTAGGAAAAAGTGTGGTTTTATACACAGAAAAATATGGTAGGTTGTAGAAACAATGGGCAAAATCCTGCTTGGATTTTACTGTAAGCATGCATAAGGAAAACCAGTTACCATTCCTCAGCTAACTGACAAGAGTGCTGGGTACATGCCCATTATACCCAGTCACACTTCCAGTTATAAGCCCAGATCTTTCTTAAGATTTTACAGTGACTCCCTGAGCTGGAGTCATGGACAGATGTTGATCAGTTGTTTTTGTCCATGTAGGAGAATAGTGAATGACACGTATAGAACTGATCTCTGTCTGCTGTACCCTCCTTTCATGATAGCTCTAGGTAAGTAACGTGTGAAGTGCTTCATAACAATGTGAATGGAATGGTTGGTGTAGAATTGGTTCTACAGCTATCTTTATAGGGATTGTGGTGATGGAATCATAGCCTTAGCCGCACTATTCTTTGTATGTAACAACTTTAAAGTTTTTGATAATGTAGAGATCCAGTAAAAAAAGAGACTAAACTTAAAATATACACCTTAAATGGATAATAGTCCTATGAATTATCTAATAGTGGCAGTATGAAAAATGAGCTTAAAGACCACCAGTAGTGAATAATTAGTTGGACTGTGTTATTTGGCCTGCGGTGTAGATGTTTGTATTTTT